CTTGCACCTGGCACGGGCACTGTAGCCAGCCCGTGCCCCTTTAAGGGGTCCGGGGCCGGGAGGGGGGCAGTAGAGTTTCCCTGGTGTTGGCCAGAGTGGCCACCAGGGAAACCTGGGGAGGGCTAGCCTCCCACTAGTTCGAATTAAGGGGCTACACACCCCTTAATTCGAACTAGCTAGTTCGAACTAGGCTTAATCCTCGTAAAATGAGGTTTTCTAGTTCGAACTAAGTGCTCCGCTAGTTCGAATTAAGTTCGAACTAGCGGAGCACTAGTGTAGCGCCTATGAAAGTTAGTTTGAACTAACGTCCGTTATTTCGAACTAACTCTGTAGTATAGACATACCCTTATATACATATGTAAATATGTATATATATTACAAAAAAATTGTACATGTTGAACCTCCGTAATCTGGATTTCCCTAGTCCAGCAACACCCTGGTCCAACATTGTCGGTAACCATGTGAGAGCACTCATGGGAACAAACTGGCAGGTTGGACCCAGGACTGTTGCCAGACTAAGGGGCTAGGGAAAAGCTGAGCCACCGGCTGCACTGACCTTCCCAGGACCAGCAAATTCCTTGGTTCAGCACTGATCAGGGAGGCTTAGTCTGTATCAGCATGGCATCTGGGATCCAGTCATGGACCAACATCCCACTGTACTAAGGTCTATACAAAGAACCAATAGATAGTTCCTCCACACCAGAGATTACAATCGAAGGCCATGCCTATACTACAAACTTTGGCTGACAAGTTTTATTGGCTGAGAGCCACCAAAGTTTGTATATCATTTGGGCACATGCATACATGGTTGCTTCAGCATGGCATCTGGGATCCAGTCATGGACCAACATCCCACTGTACTAAGGTCTATACAAAGAACCAATAGATAGTTCCTCCACACCAGAGATTACAATCGAAGGCCATGCCTATACTACAAACTTTGGCTGACAAGTTTTATTGGCTGAGAGCCACCAAAGTTTGTATATCATTTGGGCACATGCATACATGGTTGCTTGCATCGGCTGGTACAAAGTGTGCAGATGATACTAAACTGCTTAAGATAGGTAAGACCAAAGCAGACTGTGAAGAGCTTCAAAAGGATCTCACAAAGCTAGATGACTGGGCAACAAAATAGCAAATGAATTTGAATGTTGATAAATGTAAAGTAATGCACATTGGAAAAAATAATCCCAACTATACATACAAAATAATGGGGACTAAATTAGCTATTACCACTGAAGAAAGAAATGTTGGAGTCATTGTGGATAGGTTCTCTGAAAATAAATACTCAATATGCAGTCAAAAAAGCAAACAGACTGTTAGGAATAATTAAAATAGGGATAGAGAATAAGACAGAGAGTTTCTTATTGCCTCTGTATAAATCCTGGGTACACCCACATCTGGAATACTGTGTATAGACGTGGTGGCCTCATCTGGAAAAAAAGGTATCTTCCCATTGGAAAAAGTTCAGAAAAGGGCAACAAAATTATTAGGCATTTGGAGTGGCTGCCATATGAAGAGAGATGAAAAAGTTTGAGACTTTTCATCTTAGAAAAGAGGAGACTAAGGGGAGATATGATAAAGGCCTATAAAATCATAAACTAAAATGATCCTCAATGGGGCTGTTACAATGACTCCGCACACAGATTTTGTGGGCAGTTAAGTGCAAAGCAGCCATACTGCCCCCAGGGTCTGATTTTTGGCCTCCCCATCAAAACCATTCCAAGGATCCACTCCTTTCCAGCAACAGAAAAAGTGCTGTAAAAAAGCCAAGTCTTTTGGTAGCCCCAACTATTACAATACAAGAAATTTAAGCAGAATGATATGAGGATAGAGCTACATTATAAATCAATGTACATTGTGAAAAAAAATGTCCCTAGACCTCAGATATTATGCTGTCAATGCTTGGAAGGTATCATCTGAAGAAGTGGGCGGTGCCCACAAAAGCTCATGAAATTTACGTTTTGTTAGTCTATAAAGTGCTACCAGACCACTTATTGTTTTTTAAGTTTATCCTGTACAGCAGTGTTTCTTAAGCGTTTTAAGACTAAGAAACACCAAACAATTTTTTTTATGAGGAACACCAAGGATTTTTTGTTGGAAAAAAAAAAAAAAGGTTGGGAGGAAAAGTAATTGAGCAAAAGAGGGAAAAAAAGAGTCAGGGGAAAAGTTATTGAGCAAAAAAAAATAATAAAAAGGTCGCCTGCCCCTTTAAGGCCAGCCATTTTGAACTCTGTTGTTCTCTGCGGCACACCTCCGACTGCCTCGCGGCACACCGGTGTGCCACGGAACACAGTTTAAGAAACATTGCTGTACAGACTAACTCGGCTACCCACTGAAGCGTCTGAGAGTCTGTGTTTGTATAGGAAAGAGGGAAAATTGACATAGATTTTATACTTTACCACTATATTCTCCACCCATGCATCTCATGTACTTAGTGCTTACGTCAGTATAAGTCACTCAGGGTTGTGAAAAAGGCACCCTTGAGTGATGTATGTTACACTGACCTAAGCACTGGTATGGACAGCACTATGTCATCATGAGAAGCTCTCTCCTGTTAGCACAGACCACCTGCACTAGCAGTACTATAGAAACATAACCATAAGGGTACAACTGCGCTGCTTTAGTGATTCTAGTGTAGACTAACCCTAAGGCCTGAGTCTATACTAGATACTTACATTAGTATAGCTACATCTCAGGATGTGAAAAATCCCACTATAGACAATGTTAGGTTGATAGAAGAATTCTTCTGTCAACCTACCTGCCATTTCTTGGGAAGATGGCTTGCCTATGCCAATTAGAGAATGCTTCCTATCAGAGGTCTCAGACAGGTAGCCGTATTAGTCTGTATATGCAAAAACAACAAGGAGTCCTATGGCACCTTAGAAACTAACAGATTTATTGGAGCATAAGATTGGCACTGCTGTAGTGCTTTAAAGTGTAGACATAACATTTCCAAAAGTGTCTTAAGTAAATCAGGCTCCTAAATCCCACTGAAAGTCAATGAACCAAGTCAAGTGTCCAGTTTTTTAAAAGGACTTGGTAGACCTGAAATAAAATCCCTGCTCTGTTGCAGACTTCCTAAATGAGGTTGAACTTCCTGAATTACACTGAAAAAATTACAATGGCTAGTGCCTAAATTTGTAAATTGGACTTAGGCACTTTTGGAAATTCTAACTTATATAACATATCCAATGTGACAAAGGAAGCCTATGGCAGAGCAGGGATTTATATTGAAGTCTCCCAAATTCAAGTCCAGCTCTGTAACTATTGGACCATCCTTCCTCTTTTTAAGTATGTATTTTATAATTTTAAAACATTTTATTGCCATGATAAGTTAACCTGAAACCCAGAAATCTATGCACTGTACAAAAACCTGCTTACATTCGGAGATCCATTATCCTCAAAGCGCTGTCTTTGGCATGGATTAATAAACGTCTTCCATTTGGATGTACCTCTAAATGATTTATTGGAGTCCCTTTAATATCATTTTCTTTTATTTCCTACAATGAAAAAGTTTATTTTAACGCAAGATTACTTTTACAGGAAACAAAGATGATCACTCTGGTATTAACTCATCCAACGGGTGGGCAGGCAGGGGAAGGAGCAAATAAAGATTAAATGTCGTTTAAAAAAACAACAACAATCTATTTTAAAAAGCAAACACTGATTCCTAAGATACCATATCCCAAATGAAGAAGTTACTCACCAATGCAGTAACTAACATTCTTTGAGATGAGTGTCCCTGTGGGTGTTCCACTGTAGGTGTCGATTCACTCTGAAATAGGATTTTAGAGCAGTATTCTTGTGGTCTGTGCAAGCACAGTGCCTGGCTCGCACATCTTCGGTGTCCTGACCTCACACATGCGTGGCCCCTTTCCTTCTCAGTTCCTTCTTTGCAACAGAGACCACACTAAAACTCCGAAGTATGAGGAGGGTGGATAGTGGAGCACCCAGAGAGACATTCATCTCAAAGAACATCAGTTACTACACAGGTGAGTAACTTCCTCCTTTACTTCTTTAAGAGATGTCCCCATGGGTGACTGCAAAGCTGTATGTATTAAGCAGCTAGAGACTTTGGATCCGGTAGACAAGCTGTGACTAGGACAGCTTTAGCCATGATGATGTCAGAGAATGGACCATGAGTGAGTGCAAAGTGTTTATCTCATATTGGAGCTCTGCAAATGTTCGTAATCAGGACTTTGTGTAGGAATGCTATCGATGTGGATACAGCTCTTATGGAGTGTGCTTGGACAGAGGTAGGAGCATTGGCCTTGATGTTGTGATAACATAATTGGATGCAGTCTGATATCCACTGTGAAAGCCTCTACAAGGAAATGGCTTTACCTTTGTCACAGTCTGCTATTGATATGAATAATTTGAGAGAGGATCTGAAGAGTTTTGCCCCATGGAGGAAAAAGGATAGTATTCTGTGCATGTCCAGTGTGTACACTGTGGATTCAAATGAGCTGGTGTGTGATTTTGAAAGGAAAGTCGGAAGGGTGGATGGTTATTATGGGAAGCTGAACTAATTTTTGGTAAGAATTTGGGATGAGTGCGGAGGGAAACCTTGTCCTCACAGGACATTATGCATGGTGGTTCTGCTATGAGTTCTACGATTTCTCCCACTCATCTTGCAGGTGTGACAGATACTAAGAACGCTGTTCTCATCAACAGATGCAAGAAGGAACGTGTTGCCATTGGTTCAAATAGTTGGTGTGTTAGAGCACAGAGGATGAGGTGAAGGTCCCAAGGTTCAGTTCATGGTGTAATGTCAGGGCTTGGAAACTCTTAAGAAATTTCTTTGTCACTGGGTGTGCAAATATAGAGGCAGTGTCAATTTTCAGATGGAAAGTTGCAATATCTGTGAGATGTACTTTTACAGAACTAAAGAGACCAAGTGCTTAAGGTGTAAAAGATAACTGCGGATTGTTGGGAGGGATGCAACAGCTGGTGGAATGTGTCTGTTGGAGCAACAATGATGAGAATCTTTTCCATTTCTGCAAATAGGTTTTTTGAGTGGTTTGAGCTCTGCTATGGAATAACACTACTTGGACAGGTTGTGAACATTTTAGCTCCTGCGCAGAGGACCACTGAGGTTCCAGGTTGAGATGTAGAATTTAAGGGCTGGGGTGCTGTGCCTGCGTTCCCTGTTGTGATAGAAGATTGTGGTTTGGTGGAAGGGTGATTGGTGGAAAGATGGACATTCTGGTGAGGAAGGGGTACCAAGACTGCCTGGCCATGAGGGGGCTCTGAATATAACCACAGCTCTGTTCCTCCGTATTTTTTGCAACAATTTGTGGAGGAGAGGTTTTGGAGGGAAAGTGTATGGGAGACAGAAATCACATTGGCTAATAGTGCATCTCCCAGGGATCATATGCCTATACTTGCTCTGGAGCAGAAGTCTGTGCATCTTTTGTTGATAATGACAAAAAGGTGGAATCTGGGGAGATCTCATAGGTCAAACATTAGCTTGAATGTTGTCAAAGAATGTTGTCATTTATCTCCCATTCATGCTCTGGGAGAAGTGTTGTGCCGAATGCGTCCATATAGTATTGAAAACTCCTGAAAGGCAAAAAGCAGATATTGTTATGCTGTGCTGGAGGAACCAGTTCCAGAGTGTCATGGACTCTGTGCAGAGGGTGTGGCACCACTTTGTCTGTTGATAGAAAACATGCAGGTTACATTGTTCGTGTAGACTCTAATACACTTGTTGTCGATGAGAGGAAGAAATTGGCTGCAGAACTGCTCAGAGCTCAAGTACGTTTATATGTAGTGCTCTTTCTGTGGTGGACCATAGACCCTGGGTGGCATAGTTCCCCAGATGTGCTTCCCACCAGTAAGGGAGGCAGCTGTGGTGATAGTCACAGATGGATCTTGTCAAGTGAATGGGACCCTTGAGCAAAGGTTGCGAGCAAGTGTCCACCATGCAAGCAAGTGTTTGACTAACAGGCCGTGGAAAGGAATTTGGTGAGAGAATGTATGCTCAGCCTGTAAACTGTGCTCAGCCATCCCTGTAAGCATCACATAAATAGGCACGCATTTAGGACAATTGCATTGCAAGCGGCGATGTGTCCCAGTAATTGGAGGCAATCATGGGCTATAACCAAGGGACTGTGCTGCAGTTTATTTGCCAGTGCTTTGATGTTTTCAAAACAGTTAAGTGGAAAAGTGGCATTCATAGTTGTTGTGTCAAGTTAAGTTCCTATGAATTGTATATTTTGTATTGGAGTGAGTGCTGATTTTAGTTTGTTTATTTGTAGACCGGGGAGAAGAAATATCAGATGGTTACAGAGGTGCTCCATTAGGAAGTCCTGCATGGAATGTGCCTTCAGGAGGCAGTCGCCTTGGGAATGTCATTAATAAAATCATTGAATTCTGAATAGTTCTTGTAGTCCTATTTATCAAAAACAGCTACATAACTGGCCACTCTAAATTGGAGGGTAGAAGAAACATAAACTTTTCATCCAAAGACGTCTAGCTTTTTACTGCTGCGGACTGAAGTGGTAGAGTGAAAATGTTGCTGCTTGTTCCTTTGGTGAGTAGCTTCCACAACCAGGGATTTTGGAGCACGATGTGTGAAGAAAAGATACGAACCCCTGAGTGACATGAGACATAGTATTTTCTATCTGCCCATTCCCAGGTAGGTGTTATAGTGCCAGGTGCTTGCCAAATTGTTTTGGCTTGGTCCATAACTGTAGGATTAATAGGCAGGGCAATCTTAGAAGATGTTACTGATTGTAGGATATTGGTGAGCTCATGTTGATTTTCCGTTATCTTTTCAAGAGTAATAATGAGCTCTACAACCATCCTTTTGAAAAGGTTCAGAAAATGGGTGTGAAGTCATCGTCTGCCATAGGTGGGGGGAGGGGTCGTATAATGGCTTCATCCGGTGAAACGGATGAATTGGTGTCTAGGTATTGATCTGTACCCACTGGTTGTGCTTGTGTGGGGGTCACCTCCTCCTGGTGCTCTATAGATGAATATTGGTGTGGCTGAGGAGATTTATTTTGTTGCACGTTATGCTTGGTGGAGTGATGTCTACAATGGGGTAGGTCTCTATGGGTCCAATATTGTCAATGTCCTGGTGGACCCATGCACAGTTGACGGTACCACACAAGAAAATTGTGGTATCGTGACCACAATTTTCATATTGATATAGGATGACCTGGATTGTGAACATGGTGAGGGAATCAGTGGTTCGGTGGGAGGGGAAGTCTGAGGTGAAAAAACTGCCTCAATATCCTCCTTCTCCTCACCTGAAAATTGGGTGTGAGATAGGGGGTGCTACACTGCCAGCATGCCTAGAAATAGATCGGTGCTGAGGAACCGCAGAAAATACTAAGCAGCCCCGGTGATGTACAAATTGCAGTGCCGGCATGGATGGTGCTGTAGTGTGCTGTACCACAATCAATGGCAATGCCACAGGATTGTTTGGTGCAGAGAGCAATGGAGAGGCTATTATTGTGTCTGCAATGCCAATCAGGGCCGTATTAGTAACAGATACTGGCTTTGATAATGGTGCAGTTGGTGCAGCACTCTTGGTGAGGGACAGTTCAGTTATAATAGAGATAGACAAATTCAAGCCTTTTACCTCAGCACCGGATCAGTGCATACTGGTCTCAATAACAGTGCGAGTGGTGCTGGAGACGCCCAGCATGTCATAAGTACCTAAACACAGTTCAGCTGGCGGAATCGGCACCAAAGTGGTCGGAGAGCACTTACTGGCCAGAGAAGCCTTCTGAGAAGATGAAGTTGTGCACTTTTTTGAAGTTTTCTTGTCCTTTGCTGGCTGAAGTACTGAGTGGGCTGTAGATAGTTCAAACCTAGGGTGCAAGGCAGGGTGAAGGGACTTCTATCAGGATACGTTTTAATTGGAGATCCCTGTCTCTTTGCGCCCTTGCCTTCAATTTATTACAGTGGGCATATTTCTGGGGAACATAAACTTCCCCCAAGCAACGGATGCATTGCGAGTGTCCATCTGAAATAGGGAAAGCAATCTTACATGATGTGCAGTACTTAAAACCTGGTGAACCAGGCATCCTATCTAACTATAGGAAAGAAACAGGAGAGAAGATTTTTTTTTTAAACAAGGAAGAACTAGGGTAATAGAGACTTGTTTAGGTAACAGAAGACCAATTACTTATCTACGTAAAGAATGGTAACAAAGATAATAATTTTCTGAGGAACACAGAGGAACTCAGACTCCAGATGAGGACAGTAGAAAACAAATGGCGGGTGGCGGGAAATAGGCACATGTGTGACTTGCGCCTGCATGGCCTGCAGGGACACTGATCTAAAAGCCTCCAATCAATGGTGCAGGAGTGCACTGACACCTACAGTGCAGCACCCACAGAAACATCTCTCAAAGAACAACAAGTTTTAGCACAGATTGATTTTTCAGAGCCAAATGACAGATCCTATAACAACTATGACATCCTGAAAAACAGGGTTGATAACAAAAATGCTGACAAGACGTTAATCATAGAAGTGTGAACAAAGCTGCTTTCAAAAGATACATAGTCTGTTATTTCAATTCTATCTATGGAAGTACAAACAACATGTTACTGTGTGCAAGTACAATGCTAACAATCTCAAACATTTATTGTAGAAACTGGTGCTAGGAATAAGCATTTACATTCTCTACTTACTGTATCATATCTAAAACTGTGACAAAACCTAGAAATCCCCAGCCAGTGATTCACAGCATGTTTTATCAACCGTTTGCAAAGTGTTAACAAGACATTTAGGGGAAATTTACTTTCCAACTGTACAAGAGTAACATGAAAAAGCAATTAAATGCAAATTAGATGGCTAGATTTGAAATTACTTTACATAAAAAGTTATCTGGATAATTAAAAATATCTGTATACCTTATTAATACCCCATTGTTGGAGTGGATGTTGAGAACTTCCTTTGACAAAGGTATTCCAAACTATAATCATTCCTGAGCTATCTCCTGAGAACATGTGAAGTCCTGTAAAATAATAATTTCATGTATTTTGTGATATTAACAGTAAGATTTTGAAATCAGAGTAAATGAACAACAGTGAGCTGGAAATATTTCCAAAATTAAATATACATTGGAAACTGATCTTATCAGTGCTATTAACAGTTTTATAGTAACTTCCAAATTCATCGATATATTATAAATCAAGCGTGGGGAACCTCAGGCCCCGGAGCCAGATGCAGACCCCTTCTTGCCTGGATGTGGCCTCCAAAGCTTACGGCCCCTTCCCAACATTGGGCAGCCTGTAGGGTTACCAGATGGTTTCAACAAAAATACTGGACACACTTGACATTACATCACAATCTACATTACATCTTATTTAGAAAATACCAGACATTTATATTTTCTCAATTTGTTTCCCGAACAAAAAGCTCAAATACTGGACTGTCCAGTTCAAACCGGACACCTGGCAATCCTAGCAGCCTGTGCTGGCACTCCAGCCCCCCTCCTGCCCCAACATGGGGAGGGAAGTACAAAATTTACTAGGCTGGGACCCTAGTCTCTGGTGTACAAGGGAAATATGGGAAGTGTCTTTCTTCACAGTTGGGGGCGACGTCAGTGAGGGTTTTTTGTTTTGTTTTGGCTTCTCACTAGTGTGTGGCCCCCAACAGATTTTTCTGTGGGTCAGCAGCCCCCGACCCAAAAAAAGATTCCCCACCCGTTAAAAATGAATTATTACAGCCAATATTTGAACAGCAATGCTTTGCTTCCATTTTCTCTAATTAATGCAAAGTAGTCAAAAAAACCTTAATTTTGTTGATATGCATCACAGAAGTCAATACCATACATTCCAAACAGAATAACAATTTAAATTCTCTATCACTTACAATGAATACTTGGATTGTTTTTCACTTAGATGTTAAGGTGGGTTTACTGAATGCCTTTGCTTTTTAATATTGTCTTCTGTGATCCAAAGGTCACTGAAATCATTGGAAGTCTTTCCACGGACTTCAGTGGACTCTAGATCAGACTCCTCCTGCATAATTATCCAGTAAAGAACCCTACTGAGGACAAAGCAGTGAGGATATGTCTACACTACCACCCTAGTTCGAACTAGGGTGGTTAATGTAGGCAACCGAAGTTGCAAATGAAGCCCGGGATTTGAATTTCCCGGGCTTCATTTGCATCTTGCCGGGCGCCGCCATTTTTAAAGCCCCGCTAGTTCGGACTCCGTGCCCGCGGCTACACGCGGCATGGAGTAGGTAGTTCGGATTAGGCTTCCTATTCCGAACTACCGGTACACCTCATTCCACGGCTTAATTAAGCTACGGCTTAATAACCCCTATTGTGGAGACAGGGGTTATTAAGCTGATGAGATATTTCTCCCATTGGGTTATAGAGTCTCTACCATTAGTAATGTAGTATTGAGTTAGTCTAAGAGTCATCTCAGACTCCAATCTCTCTCTCCAACAATGAAGACAGATACACACACTCTCTCACAACCAGGCCATATTTAGCTCTTAAGTTATCTTCCTCTATACCATTTCTAAAATCCAATCTTTTCTCTGTGTCCCTATAGCTAAAATAATCAGTGAGCCACATCATTTCTCACTCTGATTACTGCATCATCTTCTTCTTTGGCTTCCCTATATCACACTTATTCATCTAATCCATATCAAATATAGCCACTAAGATTTTTCTTATCTATGTTCAGACCCGGTCATCTTCCTCTTTAAATCTCTCTACAGGTTCTCTCCTTCTCCACCATATTAGATTTAAATTTCTGGTCTTTGCCTTGAAGTTACTACATCATTCTGCCTCTTCCTATTTATCCCACTTTGTCTTTTTTCTAGGGCTGTCAATTAATTGCACCTAACTCTAACGATTAACTCAAACCAAATTAACTAGATCGCATTTCTCAAACTGGGGTCTGTGTGAGAACTCCAGGGAATCTAGCTGCTGAACACATTCTTCTCCTCCCTTCTGGTGCATCCTGGGGCCTGCAGTCAGAGGTCAAGGCAGGCTTCCTACCTGCCCTGGTTCTGCGCAGCTCCCAGAAGAGGCCGTCAGATCTCTGACCCCATAGGCATAGAATGGACAGAGAGGATCCGTGTGCTGCCCCTGTTCCTGAGTGCTGACTCCACAGCTTTCATTGGCTGGGAACAACAACTAATGGGTGCTACAGGAGTAGTGTCTGCAGGTGCCAAGGCAGCACACTGAGCCTCTCTGGCCACTCCTGCACATAGGGTGTGCAGAGTCCTGACGGATACTTCCAGGAACCACTGCATGTGCTACTGGGATCCCAACCCCTGCTGCAGCCCAGTGAAAGTGAGTGAGCAACAGAGGAAGGAGAGATGAAGCAGGCAGCGCTTCAGAGAAGGGGGATATCAGAGGATTCCCAAACATTTTTAAATCAAAATGTGGATCCTTGGGTTGGTAAATTTTTGAGAACCAGTAAACAAATTTTAAAAATTAATCATGATAAACTACAGTTTGAAATCACACCATAAAACAATAGTAGACTACCTAAATATTATTATGAATTACTTTCGGAATTTTTTCTGTTTTCAAATATATTGATTTCAATTATACCACACAATACAAAGTGTATAATGCTCACTTTATACTATTTTTATTGAAAATATTTGCACTGTAAATAAGATAAAATAGTACTTTTAATTCACTTCATACAGGGTATGTCTACACTACCTCCCTAGTTCGAACTAGGGTGGTAATGTAGGCATACCGCACTTGCAAATGAAGCCCGGGAAATTCAAATCCCGGGCTTCATTTGCATAAGCCGGCCAGCGCCATTTTTAAATGCCGGCTTGTTCGAACCCCGTGCCGCGCGGCTACACGCAGCACGGGGGTCGAACAAGCCGGCATTTAAAAATGGCGCCGGCCGGCTTATGCAAATGAAGCCCGGGAAATTCAAATCCCGGGCTTCATTTGCAAGTGCGGTATGCCTACATTACCCCGCTAGTTCGAACTAGCGGGGGAGTGTAGACATACCCACAGGTACTACAATGCAATCTCTTTATTGTGAAAGTGCAAATTACAAGTGTAGATTTTTGTTTTTGTTATGTAACTTGTAGCAATATAGCCGATGGTGGGACCCACACTTTTCTTGGCAGCAGCTAGGACATTATTCCTTGCCCCTCCTCCTGGGATGCTGAGGCCCCACTAGTGGTCCATGTAAGTGGTAGGAAAGAAAAGCAGGGAAGAGATCTAAGCCCCAGCTCCTCTCAAACTCTGAACATTTCTCACCCTCTTTCTGCTTTGGGTAAGATTACCCTTGGTGCTTGTTGCTGGGGAAGGGAGTCTCCCTACTGTTCTGGGACAGGGTCTCTCTTCCTCCACTTCTCTGGTATTTCAAATCTCAGCAACGTACCTTCAATTTTCAGCTCTCTGTACTTCCTCACTCCACCCTGATTGCCTGAAGCAGAGGGGTGTAGTTAGGTTCAGGACAGGGCCTTATTTGGCTACAGGTGTTTCAAATACGCTAGAATAGCCTTTCCTAGTCTACAGGACCCACACTTCATTAGTCTAGGGTTTGTATACTTCCCCTTTAGCACTCTCCCACTGCTTCCTAGCCCTGTTATATCACAAACTCCATTCAAAAAATGAAACAAAATTAAACTTTAGAGGCTACAAATCCACTCTGTCCTATTTTTTGTTCAGCCAATCACCAGGACAAACAAGTTTGTTTACACTGACAGGCAATAATGCTGCATGAAGCATGTCCGATGAAATGGTGATCAAAGCATGAAGGAGCATATGAATGTTTAGCATATCTGCCACGTAAATATACTATGCTGTTTACAAAAGTGCCAAGTGAATGCCTGTTCCCTCTTTCAGGTGATACTGTCAATAAAAAGTGGTAAGCTTTATCTCCCGTAAATGAAAAGAAACTTGTTTGTTTTAGCGATTGGCTGAACAAGAAGTAGGGCTGAATGACCTTGTAGGCCCTGACATTTTATTTTTTGTTTTTCAGTGAAGTTATAGAACAAAAATAAAATCTGCATTTGTAAACTGAACTTCCATGATAAAGATATTGCACTACAATATTTGTATTAGGTGAACTGAAAAACACTATTTAATCTTTTCCACGGTGCAACTAATTATAATAAAAATAATATAAAGTAAGCACTGTACACTTTTGTCATAACCAGGAGGGCTGACCAGTAACCTGGTGGCTAAGGGGTTAATTATGTCTCCTGTCCCCAGCCAGGTATCTGGTCAGCCAATAATAATGCAGGTTGGGATTTCAAACTGGGGCAAAGGAATTTTTATCTTTTCTCTCCTTTGTCAGAGTCAGAGCGGTTTCTTTCAGGTAACAGGGAGGTGGGAGGCCATCTCTCTCTCCAAGAAAAGTCTTCTTATACATGTAAGTAGGGCAAAGTATAGATAGCCCCATCAGGTTTTATTGTTTTCTGGTTTGGGAATCTGGAATTGAGGTCTGTGCTGTTAAAATGTTTTTTTCTTTCTTTAAAAGTGTTTTTTTCTCCTCTTTTGTAATGAAGCTTTCTAACCCAGGGAATTTTCTCTGAGTATATTAACTGGTGGCTCTTACCATCTAGCCACCTCAATTACGCTTGCAACAGAGTTTTGTTTTGATAATAAAAGTTTGTTTTCTTTTTCTTATTAACCGGTATTGGTTCATTTTTGTGTCCTGGGAGGTCTATCTGTCTGACTAGGAGTCAGCTACTACAAACTACAGCTTGTTTTCTTTTTTCTTTTTCAATCTCTTTGGGGAAAAAGAACTTGAGGTTACCCCTGAGGTTTTAGGGAGGAGGTTTCCCAAGTGATCTCTTTCCTGTTTTTCTTACAATTACTTGAGTGGTGGCAGTAAATATTCCCCAAAGTCCAGGTATTAGGATTTTTGGGGGGAAGTTTTTGTACCAAAGCCTGTAGAGATAAGGTTTTGGGATGGAAATGCTTTCTGCATTTGTCATGCCAATGTGGGGAACAGTCTTGACAACTTTATATTGTGTTGTCATTGCAATCAATATACAGGGGGTCCCCATGATAAGTCGCCCCAATATACATCCGTTCCACACTAAAGTCATTGATGTTTCTGGACTGATGCGTTATAAGTCTTCCCATTCCCCGCTATAAGTCACACATAACACTCCCCCCAGTTTGCTTAAATGGAAGTCAGCCGCGGGAAAAAAATTGACCACTTTAAGTTGTTTCACAATAAGTCCAAGTTTTTTGGAACATATCTTTGACTTATAGTAAGGATTTGAAAATGTAGAAAACAGCCACAAATGTATAAATAAATGGTTGTCTAGCATTCACAGTGAGATTAAAACTGATTAACTGTGACTACTACTTTAATCATTTCACAGCCCTACTTTTTTCACAGAGCCTTGCCACACTTCTGCTCACCCCGCAATGGTAGCCTTAACACACCATTGCCTACTTCTCCCCCAACACTTTCCATTCTTTATTCCATACCATTTTATGTCATGACACTTACAAGAAATTAGCCAACTAAAAAGAGCTAGGAAGAGGGTCAACTGTAAATAATCTATATATCTAGTTTAAAAAAAACATATCAAGACTGACTACTTTACCCTTTTACATTGTTATACCTGTCATTCCTGTCTGTTGGCTGCATATTTATCTTTTCAGCCTAGGTAATGTCTCCCTATAAGTTTGTATAGTGCTCAGCATATTGTAGATATGCCAAGATTATGTAAGACAGGAGCACACTGGCTAGTAGTAGATCTGAGTGAGACATTTCAATAAAATAACTGTAACAAAATAAAAACATCCTAATTTTTTAACATCTTTTTGCATGAAATAAACCAAAATGAACATGCTTGAACATACCTTCTGCATCAAAACACAGTGTATTGATGAAACTTTTGTGACCATCAAACTCCTGTAACAACTGACCATGGATCTCTTTCACTTTTGCATTCCATACCCTAATCATAGAGTCATAACATCCTGTTACCACAAGATAGTCAGCAACTGGATGGTACTTTGCAGTGTAAACAAATGAAGGATGAGGGAAAACGCTCACTGACGTTGTAGCCTGGTTCTCAATTTTCCACATTCTTTAAAAAAGAAATTAGGATAACTGTCTCATAACGTAAAGCTTTCGAGCAAATATTATTATACAGACTAATAATTTTGTACTAGTGATTTGAGAAACAAATACATGCAAATACTTAAGGGTCTAATCCAATCTACTGAGTTTTTTCAGCTACACTGAAAAGTTTCATGTGGAACATTTCAATGGGAACTAAATTTCATATGTGACACAGATTTTGAACTCTGGAAATTTAGCTTCTATCCTGTTTCTAACATTCTTGTACAGGCAAGAAGTCTAGCCTATACTGAGACTTACTTATCTAAGAAAATGTAATTTTAACAAATTATATGAACTAACTAACTAGTAACTATGCAGTAGGACTACTAACTAATGCGCACCCCGACTTTGACTCTGAAAAAATTGCGCATTATACTCGAGATTTTATGGTACTTCTAACACTATGTGAAGAGAAGGAGAACACTACTTGAGTTCACGTTCCTGCTACAAGAGGTAAGATAGAACTGAGGGGAAGATGGGCCCACTCTGCCTTTTATGCCCTTAGACCTGGATGAAATATGCAAAAACATCCAGGGCAAATAATATGTATACAGATGCCACCACCTCTCCCCCACACAAAAAAACCCTTCTTATTCTGGTATACCTAGAATGGAAACAATGTAGATAAACACTTTAAGAACTCCACATCTATTTCTCCTCTGCCAATTAAAGTAAAACCAATTAAAATTAACTCTTTCAACACATACAATATGACAATCAGAATTTTTTGGGGATTTTAACTATGCAGCGGTCTAGCAATATGGAGTTGCACAACAAAAGCAACAACTAGGAGGTTTTGTCTATCTATACATCAGTGAAGATTAAAAACTGTTACCCATAACATATTTATGATATATTATGGCCATATTTTTTCTTGCTGTGTTTTAGGTGTTCTGATTTGTTTGTTTGTCTGTCTGTTTTTGGAGGAATGAAGGAGCTTTAAGTACTTCTATACTTACTACTTAAATATGACACTAATGTAATATTTAAAATGGATATACAATAGGGAAAAAAGACAGAGTTAAGATTTCACAATTCAGATACAGTAATTAATCTTCAGTTCCACAGTTAACAACCTAGCCAAGAATTCAAAATACTATATGTAATTGCAATGCAGTAAAGTTAAAGTTGATATCTGAATTCTAAATTTTCAATTTTTTGCTTTGTGTGTTCAAATTTGCAACCTTAATGTGGCATTAAGATTGACTTTGCATATAGAATATGGTAATTTCTTCAATGATTAAATGTTGGTCAAGTCATACTGATTATTGTAATAGCTATTGGGTGCTCAACACTTTTGGAAAATAAGGCCATTTTTTAAAGAGCCTATATTTAGGCAACTACATTTTAAAATCTTGGACCAAAACCACCATACATTTTAAACCAAATATAATACAACTATTCACTCAAAGCTCTAATTCTATCACAGTTTTCCAAAAATATTAACAAATAACTCAAATTACAATCAAATCCATGGTTAAAAGTTGTCCAGCACGGTTTATGTAAAGACATAGCTGGGTTCACAAAATATACTTATACTTTTGACAAAAGTTGTAATAACATTTCACTCATACTGACCTGACAGTGCAATCAGAGGATGAAGTAAGAAGGTACTCATTATCTTTTGACCAACAAAGATCATATACAATATTAAGGTGGCCATAAAACTCTCTTAAATATTGTCCAGAAGGAATCTCATACACTAATGAAAATGTAAATAAAAAGGTTAAAGTTGGAGGTAAAACTTGGTTTCCAATAATAAAACATTGATTCTCAAAAGAAAACCATTTAGGGCCATGGTTTTATATAAAGAACTTATAACTGCATATTCCTATACAAATTTAAAACTTCAGATATGAAAGATGTTAATGCAATCAATATATATAATTACTACAAAGCTAGATACATTCCAAGTTATTGCTGCATAAGTGAAATCAACTCCACTGACTCCAAATTTCCATAATTCAAAATCATATAGCTAGGGAGAATGCACTGATAATCACTTAAACACAAGTCTGCAAGCATCTACTTCCATCTAGTGGTTCATGGATATGTCACAAGTGCATTAACCCCTTTAAAAATTGGACCAGACCGTTTAAGATACCCAGGATGAACCTAATATATCTAGCAAAAAACCTTTAATTTTTTAAAAATTTGATTGCCATTTGCCCAGCTACATAAGATTGTTAATGATGAGGCCAATTTTTTGATGATTAGCAAGTTTTGTAGATAAACAATAAAACCTTGATAGCTACTTTTTAAGTCGGGGTGGGCAATAATTTTTCCCAGGGGCCACTTCAAAAAATTTTGAAGTAGCCCCAGGCCACCCTGGAAGGGGCGGGGCCTAAAGAGGAAGGAGTGGGATACCCCGCCCCCAGACAATGATTGGTCTGGGGGTGGGGAGCCCTTTGCCCCCCCTTCTCACTAGGCACCCATGCTCTAGAAGAGGCATGGAACACTCCTCCACCCCCACACCAATCAGGGCCTGGGGGTGGGGGAGTACGGGAAGCCTCCTCCCACCCTGCAAGGAGCCTGTGGCACTTTGAAGGGCTGGGGCAGGGCAAAGGAAACTTCACGAATCTCCCCAGCCCCTGATTGGAATGGGGGTGGGGGAGCGAGCAAAGCCTCCTCCAACCCTACCCCCGCCCTGCGAGCAGCACGCAGCGTTTCAAAGCACCACGTGCTCCAGGCAAGGTGGGAGGAAGCTTTGCGTGCTCCTCTGCCCCCAACCTTCTCCACTCTGTCCCCGCCCTGTGAGCAGCGCATGGTGCTTTGAAGCAAAACTATAATAAAAGGCAGGGAGGGGACAGAACGGAGAAGGTTTTGTGTGCTCCCCTGGTCCCAGGCCTGCAGGAAAGCAGCAGGGCTTCCGTGGACCAAATGCACCTGTTTGACTGGCTGGATCCAGCCTGTGGAGGCCCTTTTACCCACAGTCCAGTGAATAAGAATGCTTGACATCTCCAACATTATGGGTGGCCCAAGTTAGTATTATTGATTATTCACTTTCATGAAAACTAAATTAATTCACAAATTCCTTTTCCCCTATAAAAGAAATCTACAAAAGGGTAAGTTATTTCACTTAAAAATGACCAGAACTTGCATTCCTATCATAATCCAGACTCTCAGGTTACTGAATCTCTACTGGATGCTGAAATATTGAAATATTGATCCTTAATCTGGACATATATACATTAACATATGAAAAACAATGCTATTTTCAATCACTTTGCTAAAGTGGCCATACAGCAAAGAATATTTAAAATGCTGAATTATTAAATAAAACTATTACAAGGTCGTAATTGTTAATAGCTATGTTAAAATATAAGTAATAAACTGTAACTTACAAATAATGGGATAACCATCCCTCCCTGCACATGCTGCTGCTAATGTTTTTCCATCTTGAGAAAAACGAATACAGAAACATCCCATATCCCCTGCTCTCAGTGAAAAGAGATGCTTGTTTGGTATTCGACAAGCCTACATTTCCAATACAAAACAGTTATTGCATAGTTGTGAATGTTAACCAACACACAAACCTTAAAAGATGTTATGTATTTAACGACTCTTACACTGTAGTAAAAATATAAGCATTTAAAAGGTTCTAAAAACAACAAAGGAAAAACAAAACCACTTTCTGCCTGTACTTTTGTTATTTTGATTTGAAAATGTTTCTTTATTCCACAACTTCAACAATAGAACTTAAATAAGTAAGGGAAAGGATTTTAAGCAATACCATTAGTGCATATGTAAAATATGCATTTTAACTGAATACTAATTTTTAATTGATCTTCTTACATTTTAACAAATAATCTGAGGAAATGCAAGATATGTATTGTCATATTTATCCTCTTGGAACTTTTTCACAAGCCAAAAATCAGCAAAAATATGTTGTCAATACCTCTCTCTCTCAAAAACACAACTTCTACAGCATTTACATGTACACATTTCATAATTAATAGTTGCCAAATTAAATATTTGAGAATGTCTAGACAGTATTTTCAAGTATACAGGTCACTTAATTTGGAATTTGCATTTATCTGCCTTTCAGCAAAATGGCAAAAATTAGTCATAAAATTTTGGAAAAATAATTTAATATAATTGTACACAATTTTTATTCATCCTAAAAAGTAAAAAACCAATTAGCTACTACACCCTTTTCATCTTTGTTTTTTTAAAAAACAATCTGTTGATTTTTCTAACATTTCCTTATTACTACTTAAATCACTGCTTTTTATTCAATATGAAAGAAATAACACCACTGGCAGTTTTTAATAAAAATATAACATCACAAAATCAAGGTATATAATCAAATAAAAGTCATTTACATCTAAAATTAAATTGGAATTTTCTTCTGAACAAATGCACTTTGTATAGTATTTGTGTTTCTTACAGACTTTCATTGCATCCAGCAGTGAAATAATCTCTATTCCCATTTGGAGAATAAAGTGAATGATTATAGGGACAATAATCAGCTGAAAGAAGGTCCACTTTCCTACATGTGGTAAAGATCCATGATGGAGTGGGCAGGATCAGAAGCCCCAAGAATAGAGCTGCACTAACTTCTCTCCATCCCCACTAAGCTGGTGAAACATCTGTTGAATGAAGAGTCCCAAGAATAATGTCAATGAACTGGAAAGTATTGCAGAGGACCCTGATGATGAATGGGAGCACGGGGTCTTCATGAAAAGAGGCCTGCCCTGCAACAGTTTCCTGAGACCAACCCATCCCTCCCAAACAAGACTTGATTCATAGTAATTATACCATAAAATAACCTTATTAGTAGACAGTAGATTTTTTTTTATACATTTAAAAAACCTTCACCTGTCCCGGCAATCTTGTCCATTTCACTTGCTCCTTGTTCTCATGTGGACTATATACTCTTGATTTTTTTGATATCTCATTCTGAATTTCA